CTTGTCTTATACTGTCCGCCAAACTCAACGACGTTAAGGGAGTCGATCTCAAGACATTGATTGAGGTATGACTTCGCGCTTGTTATCTACTGTCACACCACTGTGTCTGCCATATGAGTCCAGACAACACATCCAACAGTCATCCATCAAATAAAACACAAACATAAAAAACTTCTTAACAATAACTTTTTCCTATCGATTTGTTTGAGCGCCTATTTTTCCATATATACAGTACTATAATATACATTACATTAACACTAAAACACTTTTAACAAAATTACTTTTAACGAGTTTTTTATAACTGAGTTTTGATTTTATTGTGTTTTGATTTCTCTTTTAGCGAATAGAGTCTGGCTTTCGGCTCAACCGAAAAGAGCTCATTTCGATGGAGTTCTCAGTATTGGTTGCGTTAGAGTTTTCACTGCATTTGCCAAACAAGGAAATCATTCCCCACTTTCAGCGTCTGCTATACGAATCATAACCGCTATTATTATAATGATATACAAGAAGAATGTGAAGAATATTCTGTATATTTTACACCAAACAAAAACTCGTATATTTAACGATACAACCAGTTGTCCGATAGGCACCGCTCGGCACACGTTGTCGTTTGTCTGTGCCGTTCATCAGCCGATGTCATTTGACGACTAATTATTGCTATTATTTATTATAATTATTTGAGAATATATTTTTGTTGTGCACTTTCTTCTACTATTGATATATTAACTTATAATTACTTAGTATTTGAATGAATGGTATGAATGAATCAAAAACATTACATTAACAGATATAAATATATTTATTATATGGAAATCAAAATGATAACTGTTTTATAGTGTGTAAATCGGAGCACAAATACATATATAACTCAATTTATTTATATATTTAACACAAAAGTTAATTATTTATAACTTTAATAACGACAAAATAATTTGTCAAATACAGTATATTCTTCATATAATTTATAATTATATTTATCATTATTGCTATTATATTATTATAATGATTATTAACTCACTTTCAAATGATATGTGGAATTCATGTTTGTATCCAATATTTGTTTTTTAAACTCATTTTTTCTTATTTATAATTTTTATTATATTTTAAGTTATTTTAAAAAAATATTGAATTTTACGTAAAGAATCAAATTCTAAGACAATTATTATTATAAAACAATATTATTATAATTATTATTATAAAAAGATGTCTATAAAGTATAGTATATTCTATAATGTATTAATCGGTTTAAGAGTATGAAAAGTCATGTGTTTTTTATTACTTACAGTAAGTCTTTATTATTATTATTTATTAAAAAATTGATTATAATATTTAAGTTTAAATTTATATATTATATAAAATACAAAATAGTTTTACTGAACAAAAACCACAATGAAATTTGTTGACAAGAATTGATAATTTGATCGATCGGTTCGGTTATGATCTATAAAATAATAAAATTATAGTCAATATAAATATATATTATTATATATTAATACTATTACTGATTATATTATATAATAATAATAAAAGACAGTAATTTACGGCTCATTAATTGTCTACACATTTATTTGTTAATAACGTTAACAATAATAATAATCGTAAATGAATTTTTTGTGTCGATTACATGCGATTAGAATTGAGATTAATTAATCTCAAAACACTACTAATGAATAAATATCACATTAATTCAGATATATTTGGATATATAATAGGTATATAAAGTAAACATCAATTATATTGAGATTTTACGGCTTAATCGGAGTTTATTTAATGAGACAATTAATTATAATTTTGAATTAAATCAATGCCAGTGTTATATATCGCCTAATCCTATGAAAGGTGTTGTCTTTTATTTACTATAATAATGTTTCGACACATTTAATGCATTCAATATTCACTTAATTTAATGAAAAGTTGTTTTCTTAACGTTAAAAGGGTTTTCAA